ACGCGCCAAGCATTATACCATGTGATGACCGGGTCCCCTATTCCCGCAGCTCAAGTGTGTGTGCGTCAGTCTGCTTGAGTTTGTGGCCTACTTCTAGAATCGCCTGTGTTGGTTCTACATTGTATGACATCGACGCGTAGGCTAGCCATGTCTCATTCAAAACACGCCAAGTTGGTAGCTCTAGATGTTCGTCCAATGAAATTAGAGAACAAACTGACCCACTTAGACATGAGGAGCTCGAAAGGATAGCCAGGAAACAAAACTTCCATTTTACAGTACAAAATCTTTCAATTGAGCTTGAATTTTTATGCAAAATGATATGGCCGCTTTTAAGGACAAGCGGGCTAACCCAGATTTCGGGGGTTTCCAGAAATCTTTACATACACCAAAAGTGGGCAGTGTCCTACCTATAGGAGAAGTTTGGTTTCATTGGCGTGTGTATTTGTTTGGTTATAGAGAAAACTCTCCTTGTCTTTTAAAGAAATAGAACAAGGGGTAAAAACTTTACCTTTCATTTTCTCAACACAGCATTTTTCGGGATAGCCCCCTTTCATTGTGCTTCAACGCGATCATATTACCTGATAAAAATAAGTTTATACATACTTTTAAATACCCTTGTGCAGGTAAAAAGAAGAATTTGAGTGCTAAACATTTGGAAATTGACCTACATTTCCTTCCGAACCATGGAATGCGTGTAACAGTCAACTACTCGTTTTGACATCAACTTATGATGAGACGGGGACAGATCTATTTATAACTTATTCATGTGTTCGTAACACATTTTGAACAGAACGTTATTTAAGAAGGTAGCATCAATTGCCACCTAGTGACGCGGTGTCAAGTCTGAAAACAACACTATCTTTAGCATTTATACATAATGTGTGTCTAATGGGTCAATTTGTTCTCAACTAATTTCATTGGACGAGCATCTAGTCTAGATTCTAGAGCTAAGGTACCAACTTGACGTGTTTTCAATGAGACGTAGGCCTAGATCTAGGCTAGCCTTAGCCTACACTTTGGTGTAGAACCAACACAAGCAATTCTAGAAGTAAAAGGTCACAAACTCAAGCAGAAAAGACACACACACATACACACACACACACAGAGGGACAGAGAGGCGAACGCACAACACCGAACACTCGAGCACAATAAGCTAGATCTACCCACCAATGCAAAAGAGCTCCAATTTACTCGGTGGCAATTGACAAAAAGTCAATTTTTGTGGTGGCAATTGACACTACCATTAAAAAATATATATATATATATAAAACGTTTTCAGACTTGACACCGCTCCACTCGGTGGCAATTGACACTACCTATAAAAATATCCATAATCTCATAACTAACAATCTGAGATGGATAGAAAGTCAAAATTTGTGTAAAGCAGATAAAAATGAATAAGAAAATAAAAGTAAAAGCTTTAGAATGTTTAAAGCTTGAGACGCGTCCATAAGTCATAAGTAGCTTAGCAGCCTACAAAAAATACCAAACCATCAATAACTAAAAAAGTAGGCCTAACCGGTCCTACTAATTGCCGTCCTTTCACTTATTTTGGTAAGATTGAACTTTGGTGGACCCACCGTTGAGGGGGGCCAGAACTACTTTTGGGCATCGTGTGATGCCATGCGCTGGTCCACTGTTCTTCCTTGGCCGCTGCGCGGCGGCGGCGCGCTCTCTCTCCTCTCCCTCCCGGCTCATTTAGTCAACTGAAAGTTTCTACCGGATTTTTCCACCGCAAAGCCAGTGAGTGCGCGCGAGTGGCTTGACCCAAGCGCTGATTGGTCAATCTAGTCACGGCATGGCACCAACTCCACCATGTCTCCCCCTCTCTTCACTGATCTGGTAAACTTCACCCGCGCATCTATCATGGTATCTAATGCCTAGCCTAGGCTGGCAATGTGGGTCCACTAAAGTAAAGTTCTTGGGCAGAACCAACTATTTAAAATGTTCCTGGTCCCCTTTTCTTTTCTCTGTTTATTATTGGTTTGCATGTATGTGTGTTTTCTCAATTATCATTGTGGCCAGGGGGGCAGGCCCTCCTGAAATACCCCCCCGCTGTCGAATACTATAAGTTATCGTAACCAAAGTGCTGGAGGTGCGGTCCACCAAACGTAAGCCAGCCTCCAAGACATTACGCAACAATGGGCAATTACGCGCTCACGCGCTAATTTGTATTGTTTGAACTGATAAATCTCTGCATTGTCCCGCTCATTTTAGTTAGTACCTGTTGTTTGTCGATGAGGCATGACATCGAACCATGGCTTCCTATCATGACTATTTTGGATTATTTCGTTTAGCGGAGATTTTACATTCCGATAAACTGAAGGAGTGGTTGAGAAGCAGACAACTTTTATTTGATTTTTCGGACACAACGTGTAATTGTGGTGCATATTTTTCATCTTTAAAGGACAGTTCGGCTTCTGTGGATAAGGAAATTTGGAGGTGCCAGAACAGACAGTGCAGGAAGAAATTAAGTATCCGGACTGGGAGCTTTTTCTCAAAATCACATTTAACTTTAGAGACAATAGTGAAAATTATTTATTTTTGGGCAGCCGACTATTCCAATAAACAGTGCCATTTAGAGTGTGGGGTTAGTGAAAAGACTGTAGTAGACTGGTTCAACTTTTGTAGGGATGTATGTGTGGATATTTTAGACAGTGATAGGTACAGTCAGATTGGAGGGGAAGGTGTGGTAGTAGAGATAGATGAAAGTAAATTTGGGAAAAGAAAATATCACAGGGGGAAACATGTAGATGGAGTGTGGGTTTTTGGGGGGATTGAAAGAGACAATAAGGAAAATTGTTTTTTTGTGGTGGTGGAGGACCGATCAGCAGCAACGTTGATTCCCCTAATTGAGAAATATATTAGGAAAGGATCAGTGGTAATCTCTGACTGCTGGAAGGGATATTCCACAATCGCAACGGTGGGGTACGAACACCAAAATGTGAATCACAGTAAGAATTTCAAGGACCCCAAAACTGGTGCACATGGTACTGCATAAAAAAAGCAAAAGGAGTTTTGCCAAGAGTTTGATATAAGCGGCTTCTTTGCCGAATTTATCTTTAAAAGAAAATTCAGAAAGCAGCAGCCTTTCTTAGAATTTTTTTAAGCTGTTGGACTACTGTACTCAAAGGAGAAGGCCATCTTGGCTCTAAGGAGCAAAAACAAGCCAACATGTAGGTCTAATCAAGAAAGTCGGGAACCTGCTGATAATCAAGAAAATCGGGAACCTGCTGGCGCTGGTCCATCCTCCCCTTCTGGTCTCCCTCCATTGCCTCCCCCTCAAAAGAAACAGCGGGTGGGATCAATTAATGTTAATAGTGAGAACCCCGCACCTGTTCCTGCGGTAAACGTCCTCATCCGAGGCTTTGATATCCCGGACTTTGATCTTTTCAATGATTCGGATGATTTTCAAGACTGATGATAATGCAGGTCAGTTTACAATTTTGTCTCGTCCCCCTTCTCTCTCTCTTGGTATTCTCGCAGCCCTCACTCACTCCGCCTCGCGTCGGTTCCTCGGGGCAGTCTCACAGCCCTCACTCACTCTGCCTCGCGTTGGTTCCTCGGGGCAGTCTAGCAGCCCTCACTCCCTCCGCCTCGCGTTGCCAGGAACTAGTTCGCGTAGCGGTCGATTAGGACCCATGACTGAACAGTCCGTTTTTTGCCAAGTGCGCATTAATAATATAAACACGGTGGGTCCACCAAAGTTCAATCCAGCCCTTATTTATTTTATTATTTTGCCTTACAATGTTTTTGGTAATTTTTGTTTGTTAACAGAACTGGCCTAAAAATACTAAAATCATAAAACAGGACAGAATTGACCTTTTGGTGAGGAAAGTGGCTATTCTCACCCGCCCGGAAGTTCTCGCAAGATCAACTCCTCCCCTCTTCTTTCTCTCTCTGTCTCTTTCTGAATACTGTCTATCGGTGTGGACGATCAAATTGACCAAAACAAAGTTTAAAAATGATGTTAAAACACAAAAGTAAATTAATTTGGTTGTCTACAAAGATGCTAGATCTACGGCTATTTAACTTTTCGAATCGAGCCGAACTACGCGGGTCGCCATTTTGTTTTGCCCGGAAATTCTCGCGCTACTCCTCTCTCTCTTTCTCTCTCTCTCTCCACTGCCCAGACAAAATTGTACGCTTTTAGTAGGCTACAGTTGTAATGGAACGTTTGTTCACGGCACAGAATTCTACAATTTGTCCTCACAGTGTAGAATTCTGTGGTTTAGGGTGAACGCAAAATTTGGTGAACGTGCACCGGGTGAGAATAGCCACAAGACTCGCCTGCACTATTCTCACTCCGGGTGAGAATAGAGGTGGCCTTTGGGAGGGCAGCTGATAGAAACCCTAGCCTATTCATTTTTATATTATACATAAAAGACATCTGTTGACAACAGATTAGATCCAATAGATGATAGAATGTCTAGATCTAGATTTTATAGATCTAGAAATAGGCTACACAAATCATAGAAAGTAAGAAAGTAAAGACCAAGAATCAAGAACCTTCGAACATTCCAGAGAGTCGGCATTATTGGAGTGCAAAAACAGAGCAAGAGTCTCTTAGCAACGAAAAGAAGAAGAGAGTTCAATTCCTTCTTTATAGCTGGAAAAAAGGACAGAAAGCCAAAGGGAGATTTGGGGCAAAAAGTAGAAACACTTACCATTTTGTGTTCTGACTGACTGTCCTGTTGTTCGGTCTCCGCCGACAGTTAACGCTGCAGTTGTACTCGCCATGTTTGATCACGCTTTCCTGTTACGGTGTGTGGGGAGGAAGTGACCTCACCGGTCTAAAAATTCTGTTGCTTAAAAGTATGATTTTCATTGTTTATATTTACAAAACTAATAATTCTATAATTGTCTAAATATATTTCAAAATACATTTTTCATTGTTATTATAGTAATTTATTTAACAAACCTCAACATTGACTTTCATTTTTTAAATTTGTGATTATAACAGTGATTTGATCCTGTAATTTGCCCTTATATCAAATTTACACTTTTTCATGTATACAACAATTCTACTTCCTTTTTATCCGAACCAAAATGGCAGACAAGTGAGTTTCTGAATTATCACACACAATATCCAACGACATCTACATGAATTGTGGCCTAAATATTATTTATAATCCCATAGATCGAACGCTTTTTAAATGAAGTAATATATTTACTTAAGTATAGGCTTGTCTTTGAATTTTGTTAATAATTATGTTCACTTTGCTGGCCTACCCCCAGTCTCCACGGAGGCATTGTTTTGTTCTGCATTTGGTAATCTATTGAACTTGCAGATAATTATAACCATTTGTGCGTGTATATCTCGATATGAGGAGGTAGACCTATTTGTTGGACAGACATGTGTCTCCTGTGTAGGTTCGACGGCCTTTGATACATTGCCGATCCGTCAACTTAAAAGTTAAAAGGAGGCCAAGTTAAAAATAATTTTTTTGAAAGCTGGTTAGGCCAATAATTTGTGAATCTAGATCTAGATCTAGAATCTAGATCTAGTCTAGATTTCTAGAGATCTAGATCTATATAGATCTAGATATCTAGATCTACTGTTTGTTGGGATGAAGTGTGAATTGAATGGCAGGACCTTCTCTGCCACAAGTTACAAGTCCAGAAGTTGGCTCTGTGCTAGATCTATGCAGCTGCTGATAGGGGTGTTACTGCAGTAGCAGTGGTGACATTAACATGGATAATCTGGGGGAGGACTTCCGTAAGGAGCGACCACTATGAGAGACAGAGCAGAATTGAGGGCTTGGGGTAAGGTTAGGGTTAGGTCTAGGTCTCTTCATTGTGTTTGATTTTGATGGGGTGGTCGCTCGTTACGGAAGTCCTTCCTAATCTGGTTTTGGCACCAACAGAAGAGCCTATATATGGAGTGTAGGGTAGATCTAGGGGGTGCGCGGTCTATTTCAACCAATCAGAAGCAAATGGGTCATCGATACAAGTTTACAGGTCAGTGATGAATGTCAGCTTGCCACAGCTGATGATCTTTGTGGACAAACGTGTGATGTAAGCAAACAAAAATGGCTGCTGCACAAACTGACATATTCAATTTCAATCAAATGCAAAAGGCCACCTCTATTCTCACCCGGAGTGAGAATAGTGCAGGCGAGTCTTGTGGCTATTCTCACCCGGTGCGCGTTCACCAAATTTTGCGTCAACCCTAAACCACAGAATTCTACACTGTGAGGACAAATTGTAGAATTCTGTGCCGTGAACAAACGTTCCATTACAACTGTAGCCTACTAAAAGCGTACAATTTTGTCTGTGGGCAATGGAGAGAGAGAGGAGTAGCGCGAGAATTTCCGGGCAAAACAAAATGGCGACCCGCGTAGTTTGGCTCGATTCGAAAAGTTAAATAGCCGTAGCATCTTTGTAGACAACCAAATTAATTTACTTTTGTGTTTTAACATCATTTTTTAACTTTGTTTTGGTCAATTTGATCGTCCACACCGATAGACAGTATTCAGAAAGAGAGAGAGAGAAGAGGGGAGGAGTTGATCTTGCGAGAACTTCCGGGCGGGTGAGAATAGCCACTTTCAATGCAAAAACGCAATTTGCGGCTGAAAACAAAAGTGCACGCACTGAGAAGAGGCACGCGCAGGGACTACACCACTCTAGGCCTACTTTGCGACGTGCGGGCCGATGTGACGTTTGAGAGGCGAGCTAGAGATATCAAACCTAATTGTGAAACGTCAAATTATGGGGGGGGGGGGCTAAACCCATTCCCTTTTTAAAAACAAATGAAATTTTACTGCTTTTTTTTCTTTTTTTAAAAATTGAAAAATAGCATCGCAGATTTCACTTTCTTTCAGATAAATCATCGATATCGAGACAGTTTTGATGACCATTGTTCTAGGGGCCAAAACCAGAAAATGCTGAAATTGAAATGTTTTTTACTCCTTTTTATTTTGGTAGCGTCAATTGCCACCGAGTGATGCGGTGGCAATTGACAAAAATTGACTTTTTGTCAATTGCCACAGAGTGAAGCGGTGTCAAGTCTGAAAACAACACTGTCTTAAGCATTATGCATAATGTATGTGTGTCGAATGGGTCAATTTGTTCTCAACTAATTTCATTGGACGACTAGTCTAGACTATTATACGATACCAACTTGGCGTGTTTTCAATGAGACGTAGGCCTAGGCTAGCCTTAGCCTACACTTTGCTGTAGAATCAACACAGGCAATTTTAGAAGTTCTAAAGTCACAAACGCACACAAACTCGAGCAGAAATTCATAAATCGGAGGACAGGGTCAGGAAAAGACACAAACTGACAGAGAGGCGAACGCACAACACCAAGCACTCGAGCACAATAATAAGGCTGCTAGATCTACCCACCAACGCAAAAGAGCTCCAATTTACTCCGTGGCAATTGACAAAAAGTCAATTTTTGTCAATTGACACTACCTTTTATTTTACTTGCCTGATAATTTAGTAACGGTAAATCTAGAATCCAAGCCTAATGTGTTATTTGGAAATTGTTCTTGACTCATGAATGCACTGTGTACTGTATGTATACCATTGTTATTCATGTTACTGTAAAGCCACATGTTAATATGTTCTTAATCTTAGTACTGTTTACACTTTGCACACTAAAACAAGGCTTACCACAAGTTATTTTTAAGCCACATATGTATTTCTCCTAGATCTATCTCTATATTAAGTTACCTGTTTCTTTCAGGCAAGCAAATCTGCCTAGGGTGCCTGAGTCCCTGCTCAAAAGACGCAAGCGGGTGGCCGTAAGCAAAGCAAAGGCACTGAAGGCACAGTCTGCTGAGAGGAAAGTAAGAAAATTTCTTCATATTATATGTTTAGTTATTTGGTTTTGTGCTAATTATATATGGCGGAAAACACACAGGCAATGCTGGCATCTACTTCAAAAGGCCTATTTTGGCAATTTTTAAAAATAAATGTACAGTATTGAATATGGTATCAAAATTTAGCTCAAACCCTGTAGATTTCAGAAATGTTTGTCTCATGGGCAACAGCTGTCTCGTTATGTAATAAAGGGCGCGTAATCACAGGTACCCAGGTGTAAACGTTTAATTAACATAAGTTCAATTTATTTACTTAAAAGTGATTTCAATTGCTTATCTCTGCAATAATGTCTTCCAAACTGAAAGCAGGACCCATCCTGATATACTCAGAGCATATGTAAGCAAAAACAAGCACAAAATTCAAGAATTTATTAAAAGGGGAGACAATTAAATGATGCCGACCAATGCACGGTTTACACAAATATATTTATTACACCAATTAATAAGTGGACATGATTTTTTAAAAAAGGGAAAACTGAATAATGGCCTTGAGATCTAATGCCTCTTGTTAGTCCTTTTGTGTATGTCCAGGTGAAGAAGTCTGGTGATCCCTTATTTGTGATTAGACCAACATCGTTGCTCTTGGAAAAGACGTCGCTGGGGCTGCTCTTGTCCATAAATCTCACACTGAAGTCATCCTCCTAGAGCATTTTAACCTTAACCTACAGGAAAAATCAAATAACACACCTTGAGAAATAAAGAACTTAGTTGGGAAAAACAGCAATTATTTGTAATAAATGTTATGGATCTGATTTGTTAAATTTCAATCGGAACTAACAATTTTAGCCGCTTACTAACCATGGCAGAATATGTCCACCATTGCCTCTTTTGGCCTCTATTTTTTCAGTAAGTAGTAGATGTTCTAGGCTTTTTTAAAATGTCAATTGAATGTATCACACCTACATTTGTCTCTTTCTTGTGGGTGGTTGGTGGGTGCTCTGGTGTGGTTTGCTTCTTCTTTCCTATCAAAGAACTATCGTCTTTATCTCTCCTCCTTCTATTTTTGTTTGTTTACTCTCTTGTAACACTCTCTAATCTTCGGCACTTATATGACCTTATTGTGTTGCAAGTGCCGTAAAACTCTTACTAAAACAAACGTCTCTTTCTTATTGTATTTATATTATTAGTGAGTCCCTTGTAGGCCTTCTTTCTCGCATTCTGCACAACTTTATTTGATTTCTTTTCCTCATGAAACAGCAGTCTCCTAAAGAAACATCTTTCTGTTGTGTCTAGACTACTCTTTGTTCACTATCTTTGGTAACTGACAACTTATATTCATGGCATAGCCATTCAGAAGACTTGACCACAGTTCCAAGGATTGTGAAGGTAAATCAAAGAGGTCTGGAGACACACATGTCTATAAAGACTGACTTTAAATCATCATATATTCTGGAATCTCTTCATTGTCTTGTGAATCCTGTCTGTATTTGAGTGCCCCCTCCCCCCTTAATTCTCAAATTTTTGGAATGCATCGTTCGCTATCTTTATTTTGAAGTTTCTCTTCACAATATTATTTTTTTTTTCGTTACATGCCCCCCCCCCCCCCCTGCTCTTATTTCCAATCTATGTCTATATTGCATGTTTCCACAATTGATTTTGAGTCTTCTCTTCTTGTTCATTAAGTTAAATTTAAAATATAAAAAAAACTAACTAAAATTCATTGGAAGCTAATCCAAGTAGATCGATGCCTATCTAATTCTGTTCTGAACATCGCGACACAACGATCTTTGAAAAGCCGTCCCCCCCCTCCTTCCTCTTTCGGATTACGCGGCCGCCGTTTTCTTGCCGTCGCGGCGATTTCGTGTCGTGCTTACGAAAAAATTAGATTTAGGCGATTATCTCACATCATGGAGCAATTTAAAGATTTATTTACGCAGAAAATGAAACTAGCATGGATAATGACTTACATTTCGTGATATTTGGGTTGAAATTCGCATTTAAGACTTAGATTTAGCCTCATTTTGTTGTTCACTGGTCTGGTTTGTTCGACCTGCGCAAAGTCCGACCGATGCACGACAGACGTGAAAAATGCGGGTTTTCAAACTTAATTTAACAATGAATGTTAGAAAATGAATAGAAACGATGAAACTATGGCATAGAACTGTTGAAAACTTCGTTTTGGACAAATACTGCGAGATCGTTGTGCTGTGATCGCAAATTCCAGTTTGTTCACCCGGTAGAATACGAGCGACAAACACCCAAATGATCGTGAATGAATAGCCGTAAATCTTTTTAAAATCTATTTTTCTTCCTTTTTAAAATACAAATTATCGCAGTTATGAAACATTGTCAAAACATGTTTAATGGCAACTAAAACAAAAAATATGCTAAAACTAACAAATTTAGAATTACGTGGAAAAACGACATGCACATGCCGACAATGCAGGCAATTACGATTTTAAAAAATAGTTTTTAGAAAATCGTGATTAATTTCATGTTTTTAATGCCAAATCATACTATTATCATTCTAGAACAAATTGTTAGCAAAATTACCATTAAAAATTATGAAAAAAATAAATTAGACTTACCTTTCTCTCCATGTGTTCTCTTGTCAAGTAAACATTGTCTGTCGTCATTCCATGGGTCCAGGAACTTCACAAAAAGTAAAAACTCACAAAAATGTTGCTGTCCCAGCTTCTCGAAACTTCACTCTACAGTATCAACTAAAGATATACACACACAGTTATCCCATTTCTGAGGAAAATTGTTCAGAATACAGAAAGTGCCATTTTGCCCTCTGCTGTGTTTTCCGCCATATATCCTTTCCTATTTTCAGTTTGGCCCTATTTAAAGGGATAAAATCCATTTAAGTATGATTAAAAATTGGGTGTTTTTGAAGTAAGTGCAGATGGTCCTTTGATATAGACCGAGGCATCAGTGTGATTCACATTCCTATCAGTATGACAATACTGTTTATTTGGTTGTAAGTCTGTCCTTACAAGTGGGATTGTCTGGCACTTTTGTGTTGATTGTGAATGAATTCAAACTTGGTTACTGTAAGAAGGTATGGCCTATACTATAAAATCACGCCTTGGTTTATTTTCTTTCAAATTCAGTGTTTCATCCTATACTTCATTTTATTTCTATGCATAATATTCCAACCCAGTTGTGACTACTTTTGGCTACATTTTTGTTCTTTGAGGTAGAGGCAGGGTGAAGTATTTTATGGGGGGTGTTTTTCTGTGGCTTTGTCAATTTTAAAATGATTTTCAAGAAAATTACCTCATATGTGTATATTTGAAAAGTGTATCATTTAAACCTTCCATTCAACCTTGTATGGTATTAGTAATCTTAATTACTTCTGGTTAAGAGTGGGGAAATTGTACCCATTGTCCTGTTTCAAACTCACATTTATCTTCGTCCCTAGAAACGTGCTTCAAAGAAGAAAGTCATCTTCAACCGTGCTGAGAAGTATGTCAAGGAATACAGAGCCAAGGAGCGCGACGAAGTCCGTCTTGCTCGCATTGCCAAGAAAGCTGGAAACTTCTACGTCCCGGCGGAACCTCAACTGGCTTTCGTCATCAGGATTAGGGGGTAAGTTTGTCTTGCTCACCTGTCATATTGGTTGTGCTGGTCCTTTATACTTTTGATTAAGACCAAGGACTCCTAATGCCGACAGCTGTTTTGCAGGTTATGAACTCGATCTACCATGCTGAGTTTGTTTTTGAATGGCAGAATAGTTTTGTTTTATTGGTGCTGGTCTACCCGACAGGTGCTGGGGTAGTGCCGTTTTCAATCTCAACTGCCTGACAGTGGTCTGCTTTTTTCATCTATGCGTTCTGCCATAATGCATGTGCAAGGGAATTTTATACCGTCACTCCCTCAATGGGATGCCCTGCTTTCAAGAAATCAGCACTCTCACAACTTTGGTCCAAACATTTTAGTCCGGCCTGCCACTGGGAGTCCAAAGCTGTATGGGGGCAGGGGGGGGGAAGGGTGGTGTAAACTATCAGGTAAATCAGAAGTATTGCGTAAGGCTGTCAAGTGGCATTTTCATTTTTGGTATCCTTGGTTCTTTCAGCTTTGTATCTAAAGTTCTCTCAAAATGAGAAACTGACAAAGACAGAAAAGTTTGTTGTGTGGATTTTATATCTTGTTGAAATTGAAATAGGTCTTGGTGGTGGTGGTGCGAGTTTTAGTGAAACTGGTGCTTCTGTCAGCGATGTCGTTTGCGTTGTTCCGTTGTTAGTTTTTGAGCGTGTGAGGGCGTGTAACTGTAAGCTGGTCATTTCTCATCTTGTGATTATTTGACTGACTGTTACTTTGATAAAAACTTTCCTGGTGCTGGTGCCTTTCCCCTGTCAACTGAGTTGAGGTATTGAAGATGTGATAGTGCAGCTGAGCACATTGTTGATGTGGTTTGTGTTATGATTGTCATGTTAATGGATGTGCCCCTATTTTCTCCTGATTCTGCTTCTAACGTCTTCTAAGGGGTGAATCTACAGAATAAATATTTAATTGGGCTTTGAGTAGACTTGTCAGGAGGTAGTTACAAGTTGAACATTATATTTTATTATTTTTTTGTATGGGACTAACATAAATAGAAAACAATGGTTAAATGTAAAGACATGAAACCAGACGCTCAATGTTTTGGCATATCAGGTTATTAGCATCATCTTAAAGATTGTTCATTTATCTTGTTTGAGGTTTTTGGTGGGGGGTTGTTGTTGTTTTGTTTTTTTTGCAACCCGCAAACAAC